AGCAGTCTGCAGAAGGGAGCAATTTCCATAGACCCCCATGTTAAAATGCCCAACTTTACAGCAGAAATAAACATGTTTACATCGTGGTTCAAAAAACCATATTCTCTGTATAGATTCCCCATTCATGACAACTGTGTGAGGGGTGCATTGTTTTATAACGCAACCCTTTTAGTTATATTAGGTCTTAAAGTTTTTGCTTAAATTAGGGCGTGGTCACCTTGAGTGACAGGTCTCTGCAGTGAGTGCTGCTTCTAGCTTTCTGTCTCTCTGCTAGTGATGGGAATTACGGCTCTTTGAAGGGAGCCGGATCTTATGGCTCCGTTCCTTTGCGAGAGCCGTTCAAAAGAGCCGTTTAAAAGAGCCGTTCAAAAGAGCCGTAAAGGGGCGGGGTTACTAGGTTTATCTGCAAAATATACCTTTTATAATTCAATCAAATGTAGCCCTATTTTGACTAATGATTTATATGTGTACACATATCACTGAAATTATTCAATACATCCTTTGTACTAGTATTCAAAAGTAAAAATTACATTTTTAATATAAATGATTTGCTGTGGCCAATTGTTTTCATTGCATTTACAGACCCTTGTAACTCTCTGACTCTGATTGTAGAACCACGCAAAAAAAGCAGATAGCAACACCTATACAAACTGACAACAAATCTTTGCGGAGCCTAAAAATAATCATAAATAAATAACATAATGAAAATAAATATATTGCAATGCTCAAAACAGCAGTATCCAACAGTCTCTAATCCTTGGATATTACATGTCACTGCATGCATGCACGGAGCACCCGTAGCGCGGAGATCATCATATCATTCTGTCTTGTAAATTAGGAAAAAAAAAGAAAAGAAAAAGAATGGCTCGTTCACGGGCGCGAGCCGGCTCCCGTCGTTCACTTAAAAGAGCCGGCTCTTTGAGCCGACTCCTTCGCGATCGACACATCACTACTCTCTGCTAGTAGCTCCGTTAGCTCAGTAAGCTCCAGGATGCTACAGGGGTGAGGCTGCGAGGCTGATGCGGGGAACACAACTTGAACTTGTTGATGTGTTTGCTGTGTTGGCAGGGGCGCCGGAAGCAGGGGGGCCAAGGGGCCATTGGCCCCCCCACTTTACAGCCCTGCCCCACATTTTCGCAGCAGCGGTTGCCGCGGAACACTTTACATCCCGTTTCAATAATTCCCCTCTACTCTAAAGTCGTATCTAAAAAGAACGCAATCTGATCTAGCTGGCGGAAGGTGTCGGCACGGCCAAAAATACACAACGGTGCGGGACACACCAAGACACAACAATCTGAGTAGGGCGACACGACGCTCATCGACGGCCTGACATCTATCGACGGCCGAAATCGGCTTGGTGTGTAATGCTGTGTTCACACCGGACGCGATGCGACGTTTGGGGGCGGCGCGATTACATGTAAAGTCAATGCAGAGACGTGGACAGACGCGAATTCGCTCCGACGGCGCGCATGAAGCGGTGGACGCGGCGCGAATCACACGATTGAGGCGATTGAACGGTGCCGCGTTAAACGCGAGAGTTCAATTTTTTCAACTCGAGCGTCAAATTCACGTGACGCGTTCTCGCGGAAGCCAATCAGCGGTGAGGATCTCAGCCGCCGTCACTGACGTTCAACCACACAACATCAGCCGTTAGCTGTTAGCAGTTAGCACACAGAGCTCACAGCTCCTCATATCCGTTCAGAAACTGGACAAAAGTTAAACAAGTACAAACCACAGACTGTCTGTGTCATGGTGAATACAGTCGCTGTTTATGTATGTCCGTAGGCCGTTGTTATGAGTGTGGAATGAGCATATACAACGTTAGCTTAGCCTGGTTGACCCGATCTTCATTCAGAAAACAAGCATTTTAAAAGGTGTTTTGCCTGCCGTCTTGTCTGCAGACTTGTCAAAGCATTAATTCATGGTTGTTACTAACCGGTATCAGTATGTTGTTACTTCGGCATCATTTAGAAACGTGTATTACAATTTAATCACGGTAAAATATGTTCATTTGTTGTAGTTGTAGCTCCCGAGCCAGCGCGTCTTGTTTGAATGATGCGAGTAAACACAGCTGGCAGCCGCGGTGAAACTCCAGCATTTAGAGCGATGCGATAGGAGCGATTAGAGCGAAGCGAATAGTCGCATCGCGTCCGGTGTGAACGCAGCATAAGGACCTTAAGAAGTAAGAGGAAAGCAAGTAAAAAAACAGAGTTCCCATTTATTGAGAAGTTTGATACATTATGAAAAATGACTGTTGAAACCACAGCTACACATCAACAGAGAGTTATTGTTTGATCTGATACTGATATGGGCCCTAAATGAGGAATATGAAACCATCACTTCACAAAAACAGTGCATGAGTTCTTTGAGAGAGATCACAAATGAAAAAATATATGATATATATTTAAAGAAAATATGAAACCATCACCTACAGTAAAAGAGTATGGGACACCATAAAGAAGCTATTAGAATATTTGTAACCTTTTTCTTGATATGCATAAGCAGGAAACAAACAAAGTCGCTGAGAGGCTGAGGCCGGGCCTGTTTGCAATTGTGTGACACGCTACCAAAAAGTACTTGCGGAGATCGAAAACTCTGTTGAAAAATAATGTAGTTTCATGAAAACTACAATGATCAACTTATTTTCCTTGGACATAGACATTGTTATAATAATCAAAGCAATCATTAAACTTGCGGTCAACAAAGAGTACAACGACCCTGTGTCACCCTCTCTTCCACACACACACCTCACGCAGGTGAACAGGATTATAATGAGTGCCGCCCATATCCATGTGACCCAAGCCAACCAATCAATTGTGATCAAACAAATATCTTATATTAAAACAAAACACATTACTACACACGTTTCATGGCTCCTACAGATGCTATAGTTGAGATCAAAAGCAGAATGAGGCACAGTTATCAAAGACTCTGCCTTTCTGTGGTCATTCAGATGTATGATTTCTGACATGTCTTAAGATGACCTGCTTAGACTCATTTCACAATGTGTATTTTTCTTTATTCAACTGCAGTTTACTAGTTTGGAACTAAAGATGACAAACAGAGGTTATTCTATTTATGACCTGGCTACAATACTGCGTTGGAGCACCCATTTAGAGGAAAGTGAAGGCAGTTATGCAGACCGTAAGGCTCAATGAGATGCATTCATGCACAAAATCAGTCAGTAAAATGTTTAACAGAATCTTCGCCTGAAAAAAATCTATTAATCCGTAAAAAACGTTAAGCTAAATACCTGGTTTCAGCTGCTGCAATAGTATTCTATGAAAGCAAACTGAATATTTTCAGGTTTAAAAAAAAAAAAAACTGAATGTAAAAAAATGCCACCTCTGGGAAAAAGTGAAACTGCATTTTTACAGTTGTAAATCATCCGGAAAATAATCGTCAGATTAATGAAAAAAGATCAAAAGCAGTGCGTCACGGTCAAATGGAATTAATTTGCTTCTTACATACACTAAATGTTGGCCCATAGAACATGGTATATGCTGTGAATTAGGCAACTTAAAACGGTACTCATACAGACTGCTACTGTCTTTGTGTGAATATGTGTGCAGAGAAGTTTTACAAACAGCTTTTTTGAGTGGATTAGGAAGCACAACTACAGTAGTAACAGAGTGAAGAGTTATCAGCTCTTATAAGATAAAGATAATCTGTAACTCTGGAAGAATCCACGAGTCAGACGGTGAAGACACTACTAAGAAGACCCCAAGAAATCCAAATTTAGAGGAAAGTGAAGGCAGTGATGCAGACAGTAAGGCTCAGAGATGCACACAGTTGAAAAAAAAGTCCATAAAGCAATTAACATAAATAAAAGTACTAGTTTTTAAAAAATACCAATAACTCACTGGTTAATAGTGATAGTCATCTTTGACAGTAAACTGGATATCTTCTGTGTTTTTGTACAAAATTAAAAACTGCCATCTTTGGATGAAAAGAACCCAATTCGAACTTGAATTCTAAATTTGTATGGACCAAGCTAATAATTCAGAAATAATGGTCAAATGTCAAAATTGATAATGATGAATATATACAAACGTAGCTTTAAGGAAGGCTGAACTTAACAACTGTATCATGGAAACAGAAATAATGTGCTTCTTAAATACAGAACATGCACATTTCACATAACTGTATTAGTGTCAGTGCTTCTCAAAGTGTGGTCCGCGGACCACTGGTGGTCCGTGAGCGGCCCCTAGTGGTCCGTGAGTATATTAGTAACATTTCATATTGGAAATAAATAAATGTATTTAAGTTTTCCGCACTCTCGCGGGAATATCTGCGCAATGGAGCGAGCTTAAGTTTCGATTGCATGATATAGCCCAGCGCAACACCTTCATCACACATGTTGCCACTTGTTTGTACCATTTTCAGGCGATTTGTAATCTGTTCTAGAAAAACGATGTGTTTTGGGATATTTGTGGAGTTAGGTGGTCCGCGAGTGTTTTTTTATTGGTTAAGTGGTCCTTGGTATGAAAACGTTTGAGAAACACTGAGATGAAAGCAATAATATTAAGTTGAACCTAATATATTTTATTTAAACTTAATATTATTACTTTCAACTAACCTGATAGTTATGTGAAATCTGTTGACATTATACATTTCATTAAAGTCAATGTTTAAGTTTTTTCAGTGTGCTGTGAATTAACCAAATTCAAACTCAGTATATATCACTCAGTACGCCTCGTACAGACGAACTGGTGCTACTGTGTCCATGTGATGTGTGAACGGAGCTATGGCGCTTATGAACGAATCGATTAGGAAGCACAACTACAGTAGAAAAAAGTTGTTAGCGTAAAGAGTGATGTTAGTGAGCTCTAACTGTGTATACTGCACTTTAATAAGCCGTTGAACTAAACATGTTCCATCTTCTCTGTTCATCTGTTAGCTCTTTAGCAGATGTACCTCCGGAAGAATCTAAATGAGTCCGACATTACAAATACTCAGAGGTGAGGCCACTACTGAGAAGATCAAAGAAATCAGATCACTCTGGTCCACTTTTTATCTAGACACACATGCAGACACACACGCAGCCCTCTCATTCTGAGTGTTGTATTACCATTAACGTCCAAGAACACGTACTTGGCTATTATTGTTCACCCATGATACTTTAAGAGTGCTTTTTATAGGAATACCTTAGTTTTGCAGTCGGTCTTCCAGCATGTTAACAGTCCTCTAGTCGACTGAGTGTACACACACTCTCACACACAAACAAAAATACTGGGCTATATTGTGTTATTATCACACTTTCACATAATGCTATTTTTGGAGACAAAAACATAACACAAAAACCCTGCGATACATCCACTCAGAATGAAGGAACTATAAATTAAATCCATAAGATTGTTAAATAAAAAGACAGATTCCGACAAACATTTTTTTTCTTCTGGAAGACAACCTTTTGTCTCATGTGAGGGAATATTCTTTTAAGCAGTGTTCACCCACAGCGTCTTTGAGGGCACAGTAACTGCAGCGGCCATCTTGCCAACACCAGGGAGTGTAGTGTAAAGTTTGCACATGGTGTGGCTGCTACATGTTCCTGGTGATGTTGTAAGAGGTGCAGAGGGGGGGTGCAGAGGGGGCGAAGGTGGGGGAGCCCATCTCGGGGGGGTAGGGCTGCAGGCCGTTCTGCTTGTTGTCTCTCAGCTTTCGGACCACGATGCGGCAGAAGTCCTCCCCCTGCCGGCGGCAGTCGTCCAGCAGCTGGCGGACCTTGGCGGTGCGCGTGCTCTGGGTCATGACCAGCTCGTAGTCCTCCTGCATCAGTAGCGTGTGGGACAGCAGCGCGTCGCAGCTCTGGTTCAGACACGCCACCGTCATCTGGAGGACGATCTCCTCGCGCCGGGCCTCGATCCACCGGGCGATCGGGCCTTGTAGGGGGGGGGAGTGACGCAGCGGGGGGGAGTAATCAGCTGCAACTGGGGAGAAAGCAATTAAAATATTTTGTTTAAATTGGACTTTTAAGAACTATATCAGAATCAGAATCAGAATTCCTTTATCTGTCCCGCAGGTGGGAAATGTAGGATATTACAACAGCAAGAGTAGAGTTCAGATGAAGTAAAAAGAGTAGACTTACATATTATATAAACAAGGAGGCACACTTTATTAATAATACAAAACATAATAAGAAAAATAAATAAGTAAAATATATTATCCACTGTGCTTATTTAATATCTAAAATAAAAAAACAGCCGGCCAGCTAACCAATCAGAGCAGAGTGGGCTCTGGTTTCAGACAGAGGGTGAAAAGAGGTGCTGCAGCACAGGCACTATGATTTTACTTTGAGCTTGGCCTTAAATATAAAGATATAACATCAGTGCTTGGCAATAGGCACGGGTTTCACATAAGTGAAAGACACCTCAAGAGAACACTCAGAGCGAGGGGACATGCACGTCGCAAAGCATGAGCTGAGTTATTGACAGATTCGAATTTCGCGGATCAATAACTCATGAACATAACGTTGTAAAAATACAAACAACATGACTTTACAAACATAGCAAGGTAGACAACGAGCTACAGAGTCGTTTTTATCAGAACAGTTCCATACGCGCCATCATCCGAGCTAAACTTCAAGAATTGGTCACAATCTGCAGCTGGAGGAGGGAGAGGAGTGCTTAGGGACCGTCTACAAACTGCAACGGGGTTTTGCGATATCTCGCAAAACCCCGTTGCAGTTTATGGGGTCTGCCAGAAGCTGTCATAAAAGCCCCATTTTTACAATGAACTTTTTTAAATGTGCTTGTTTTTGACAATATATTTTCAATAGATGAAGTATTTTAGTCATCAGAAATCTGGACCTTAACTTAGCATAAAAACAAGCTGAGCCAATGTTAGCCTTTAGCTCATAGCCCCTCCGAGATGTCAGTTTCCAGCCATATTGCATTGAAGAAACACCTTATAACACTGCTTATTCAGTGCTTTTACTAGTTTGAAAAACCTGCTCTGTTGGTTTAGGAGAGGAAGACGCCTCTGAGGAAGTTCGGCTGCAGGTTTAAAATAATGAACAATAGAGGAATCCTAACCAAACTCTGGTAAACGCTCTTACCCTGTTGCTGAAGCTGAGGCTTGATGGTGAGGTTTTCCAGCTGGGTCTCACAGCAAGTGGCAGGCGTGCCTAGTTTGACGGGTATGTTCAAGTCGTTCATGGGCTTTGCACTCTGGTAGCTGTTCAGATTGTTGTCTTGGTCCCTCAGAGACGCAGGGGCCTCCAGAGTATTTGGTATAAAAGACGACGGGAGCCCCTCCCCATCTGAAAGAGTGGAAGAAGAGGTGTGACAAATCTAATATCGCATGCAGATCATTGATTACAATAGATACAAAGTGAGTGTCCTCACCTTTAGAAAATGCCATATTGCTGCTGCTGAGGGCCCCAGGGACCGATATGTCTGTGTCCTGGGAGGAGCCAGAGCAGGAGGTGGGGGTGGAGCTCTCCTGTGGCACAACATTCATTTAAATTTCAACATAGATACCACAGACAGACAAGTTTCACTGACCAACATTAGACTTTATCTGGATGTAGAGTGGTGCAGTGATGATGTACTGCCCTCGACAAAGAGCAATACCATTTCCTCATTGGAATTTGGGATATGGCAGAAAATAAGCTCTTAGTCAAGACATGTTTATGGTACGTTTTATTCAGCTGAATAATCTCCACATATTAACACTACTTTTAGATTTTTAAATGCAATCGCCAGAAGTAAAATACATTAAAGTAACGCTAGGCTATAAACAAACTTCAACACGTTCGCCTGGCTGCTCATCACCACTAAGCTGAAGACAGAATAGCGTTGGCGTGATGTTGTTTAGTCTTCTCATTTGGCCACTTGTTAGCAACTGCTGTTTATATGACACATGGACGCTACAGATATTTACGAGTGGGGTATTTACTGAAGTATTTTATGTCATAGAGCAAAACATTTAAATCTCTCCAGCTCGTGCTAACCATAGATCTTATTTCATGCTTCTAACCGCAAACACGCTAAAAAGAATGACGAGACAAGGGAACTGGAATCGGTCAAATGCTAACTGCCTTCTGGGTTTGAGGACTCATTCCTGCACCACTGTATATCCTCAGATATGTGAGCTACTGACCGGCCAGGGGCTGCTTCTGTCCTTCAGCATGCTGAGGGACCCCTCCTCACTCCTCTTCTCACTCACCGGCTGTGCTGAGCAGCAGGCGGACCCCCACCGCAGCTGGGGAGAGGAAGAGGATGTTAACAACGTGTTCAATCAAATATACCTTACCCAAACGGGAACACTTAATCCAACCTCTCATAAATGACGTAAACATCTTGTGTGATGCAGAAGTGTTTCATGTATGTGCCTTCCCTGTTCCTCGTACTGAATATATGAATATGAAAGCTGAACACCAAATAATACTGGCTGTTCATCCCAGTTCTTATCATTTAAAAGTAAAAGAGAGTGACATTTGATTATAGCATTTTTTTTATGTATTATATAATAGAAATACAATTTAAAAACACGATTAGAATGTGTTATTGATTCCAATTCAAAGTCGTGTTTATTCTTAAATTGGCAAGTTTCCGATTTCCAATTTTATTTATGAAACAGCCAGCATTTTTATTTTCGTGTCATTTGAAAATTCTTTAAGTCTCTGAAAATGTAAAGTTACTGAAAGAGAAAAGGAGAAAAATGTGTTTAAGTTCAGCATGAATAAAAGTTTCCTTTTGTCTCTGTGTTTTTACAATATTGTCATAATTTGATATAACTGCTTCAAATATAAAAAACTCCATCATTGTATACACACTGCATCATGTCATTTGTTTACCACACTGGTTCTTAATTTAACTTTATAATAGCCTTACTATGTGCACAAACACAAACACCAGGACCTGAAAGAGGAAGGACATGCTGAGGGGAAATTATGAATGTGTTATCCTCTCTTAGTCACAGCAAAACTCTCCAAAATTACACACAGCTCAAGATCTACATCCCCTTCTTTGTGTGACGTCATCACATTCAGAATTAGCTTCATTAGCTTCTCATAACTAACTTCATATTCTGAGAGAGGAGAATATCCCTCATCCCGCTCTAAAGTCACACTAAGGGTTAATAACGGATGAGGAAGAAACACAGGTCTTTGGAGGGGATAATAAAGCTACAGTTCTGCTCCTCAGTGTGACAGTAACACTTGAACAGTTACATCCTGTGGAACAGTTACATCCTGTGGAACAGTTACATCCTGTGGAACAGTTACATCCTGTGGAACAGTTGGCTGTAAAAGGGGAACAACTGTAGTGTGAGTTCAGATGTGTAGCAACTGGAAGGCATGAAGAGAACATGCCGGGTCATCAGCTTTCATTTCAATTTCAATATATCAGTGTTTACAGGTTTTATTTAAATGTGTATTTCTATGTGATTTGTGCTTTGTGCATCTGTTTATGAATTAACTCGATAAAGAAAAAGTATTTAAAAAAAGTAAATAAACTGAATTGATTATTTGCAAAATTAAGACTTTTAATATTTAAAAGAGTTTTTATTTACAATGAAGATTACAATTCTAGGATACAGAAAATTCCCACTTTAGGTTATGGTCACTTTTGACAAACCCTTGCCAATTATTTATGTTATAAATTAATAAATAAATACATTATAGTGAAAACAATTAGTATTTTGCTAAGCACCGAGGCTTTCCTGTAATCAAAATTAAAATCTTTGGAGTATGCTGTTGGAATATACTCAGTCAATAGATGTATTTTATACTGTTAGATATTTGAGTGATATTGTCATAACTACCGTATTAATTATTGAGTTATGGCCAAAATTCACAGTGACCTTCAACCACCAAAGTCTACTCAGTTCATCTTTGAGTGCCACATTGAAAGAAGATGCCATTAAGGTATTCCTGAGTATCGTGTTCACAAAAGAGATAGACAGCCAGAAACCAAAAAAAGCTGTGAGAAGATCCCTGACTAACCTTTGACCTCTTGATCTCCAACACGGCCTCCAGGAAGTCGATTTCGTCAAACGTCCTCACCATGGGCTCCAGCTCGATCAAACACTCTGAAACCACACATCGTAACTGTTAATCACACTGTGAGATCTAGTCAACAATGGAGAGCAAAACCTGTTATACTGCTCCTGTATCACACCGCTCTCTGGGCTGAGATCAGATCCAGAAACGTGCCAACGGAAATGTTACTGCATGTTTGGTATTTAGGGTACTTTCAAGAACAGATGAAAGGAAGCTGTATGGTTAACGAAACAGTTTCAGGGAGTCTGCACTACAAAAACTAGAAGTATATTTGTCTAGTATCTAGTCAAAATAAGTCTTACACTTGATATACATGTAAGACCTAATGACTTAGGAACTATCAATGCAGTGAGATATAGGGTCTTGTTTTAGACGATGCATCTTAAGTATCCTGTTAAGCCAAAGACTATTGAAATCATCTTATTTTGAGTTGTATCTCAGATTACGTTTTTTTTTATTTACATTTTTATTGGAAAATCACCAATTAACATCAGAAAACAGGACACTTCTGAGCATTTCTGGCTTATTTTGTAACAACATTTCCTGATTCTGGTCAAATATAGTTCAAAATAACTTTTCCCAGCTAATTACAAGATCTGATTTACAGTATCTAAATATCCCATCTTATTTCAAGAAATCGTACCAAGCAAGTTTTAATTTGTTCTATTGGCAGATTCTTTTACTTATTACATGCAATAACAGCTTGTTTTCATAATTGTTTACTCATTTTTGGAATAGCATTTTTTCCAGTGTGTAGATTTACCACCAGAATGTATTGACAGATACATAACTTTCATTTACTCTAACCACCACACTATGCATTACATGAATGCACATAATGTGTGCTATTCTAGTTCATTTCAATGCAGTGAACGCTGCACATTGTTTAAACCAGTCAGTAGTTCGTCACTTAGTTCGTATATCTGTTCTTTGTTCAGTGATCAAAAAGTGTCTCTGATTACTTCAGTTTATTTCAAACTAGGAAGTCATTTGTGAAGTTCAAAACGGGAGTTATCGATACCATTTCACTACAAAAACCTCAAATAGGTGGCAGGTAAATGGCCTGTGTCCTTTCCAATAATTGAGCCCATTTTTTTTTACATGAACTGTGGATTAGGACAGATTTCACTGTTTATAAAAGACAGTCAGAGGACATTTGAGTAATGTGACCGGAGGCTGACACTGCTTAGTCAGAGTCAAAGTTAGCACTGACTAGGAGGATTTGACTGTTACTCAGCATAAAAAAAGAAAAGTCATCCCAAACTGTGAAAAAGGTTAACCTGGTTCGACAGAGTGCAATCCTTTGAGAGGGCGGAATTTGTCTTTTTCTGGCAATTGAGTTATTTGTGGGAGCTTACTGAGGAAGGAAGGTCTTTCGTCGGGGTTGGTGGTCCAGCCGCAGGTCATCAGAGTGATGAGGGTCTCTCTGTTGGGGATGTCGGGGGGCAGGCTCTCCTCCCCCGTGTCAGGACGCATCCCACGCAGCACACTAAACATGATCTGCATGACGTTGGTCACCTCTAAACACAAACACAGATGTTTGATTAGCCTGCTAGCTCCATAAAAGGTCACTCAAACTTGGATACAAGTTAAAAACAAGTGTTACCTTCGAATGGAATCTGCCTGGACAGCACTTCCCACATGATGATGGCATAGCTTGAATGTAAACATGACAGAGAGAAAAAGTGAGGGAAAGTTAGAGTTATGTAATTCTTTAGGACTGGATTTCCCCCTCAGAGCTGAGGGACTTTACATTGAGCTAACCATAGAGGTGGCTTTGAGGAAGGAAGATGACTGGTTGACCTGTTGCAGCAATCCAAAGCTATTGTGCAACTTCAAGTTCCCCTCCATACATGTTGAAAAGAATGTAAAAATATCCTCACGTGATACGCTCACAAAAAATCATCAGAAAAGCATGATAGCATATCTACTTTACCTCCCTCATTGGGAAATTCTGGATAGATGAATATTCAGATATATGAATATCTATATCCAACGTCAGAGAAGATTCAGCCAAACATGTTTGAATTACATGAGTCTGTTGGGAACCGAAATCGGCTAACAGATGTAACAGGATGGTACGGAAGAGGATTAGGGCCAAATGTGAATTTTGTTTTGGATCTGAAGTGAGTTTTTTTGTCTGAAGTGCAAGAGCAGAACGAAAAAATGTATAAATCACTTTTGGTCAGATCTCAAACAAATCTTCACATGTGGCTAATGCTCTTCCATAGGATTGTAACTATAGCTAGCATTGTTTATGTTAGCTTGTTAGCTTGTTAGCTTCTCACTGACAGTGGCTGATACAACGTTAGCAGTTGACAGGATTTTTCTTTAAAGATAATTTCAAATAAAAACTGCACGCTCAATAGGTTTGGTGTCAAACTTGAACATGCTAATGCTAACTAGCGCTTTAGTCTGAGTAAACTTTGCTTGAGGTTTTAGGTGTTTTTGTCTGTGTTTGGGATTTAGACCACAATTGTCTTTTACATTTGTGATGCGAGTAAGATAATTACGTTATCGACTTATCATACGATATATAGACATTACCTTGAAAACGTTTACGTTACACATGCTCCATTATTTTGCTGACCTTGATGTTGCCTGCTGTGTTCACATGTGTGTTTGTTTCAATGAGAATGTCACCAACAACTTATCCAATATATTGCTAGAATCATTTCAGGATTCTTCCAACCATTATTAGATGAAAATTCATTCAATTTATTGCTTTTGTTGTGTCGTTTTATTGTATTTATCTTTTATTTTTATACTTTTCATATATTTTTCCCACATTTTATTTTCAATATCTGAATATTAAGGAATAGGGATAAAAAGTGTAATGGTTAAAGGGTAAATGCATTATTATGCCATTATCATTATATCATCTTAAAAAGACAGTACTATTGTTTTATCATGATTAGTTCTAGTATTATTGATTAAAACAACACCTGTTAAAATGTCTGATTAAATAAATATGTTAGGCCATAAGTAGTTTAGTTTATTAGGGTTTTTGGTTAGTGTTATGTATTTTTGGGGCATGTGATGTTTCTGTATGATACATGAATTCTCTGTCATTCTAGACGTATTAATATTATATAATGTAAATACTTTCTGTTTAGTGTCTGGGCCCATGTTCTCAAGCTTCTGATAGCTTATCGTTGCATCCCATTTCACATAGTTACATTAAAGGTGGGGTATGTAATTTATTTCAGAAACACTTTTTGTTATATTCCATGGAATGCTCTTAACATCCCGATAGCAATGAATATCTTAAGTGCTTTGACAAAAAATCCATAAAAACATTTCATCTGTGGAAGCCGTAATACTGTAAAAAGTACGACCAATCATTTTAGCCGGCCCGGCTAAAATAACTGGATGGCCTACCTGCCTGTCAGCCTTCCATCTGTGCACAAAGTTATCTCGTGCCCTCATTGGTCATGTGCGCGTTCGTGTGTGTTGGAGGAGGGGCTCTGTAAGGAAGTCTGAAGGAAGAGGCAGATTTTTTTCGGCTCCGTAGTTTCAAATTCTAGCGCACTCGAGCTGGTTTCTCCAAAATTACATACCCCACCTTTTTATAATACTTGTTTTTATTTAAATTGTGAATTAATAAATAATGATGATGAATATATCGTCCAACAAAAGTTGTTATTCTGAAAGTCCTAATACTTCATTTAGCCTTCCCGCGGTACATTTGAATCTCAGACTTTAGGGAGAGCTCCGACCACTTCCTTTGAGTAGAGGAATGTGGAAACATCTCAACTCATCTACTCAACAGACATTAGGAGCTGCCATATACAGCAGACACCAGAAAACACATATTTTAGGGTAGGGGATCTTTAAGAGACTGCAACAGCCACGGGGGGAAGTGTATTTCTTATCTATACTTCTTATGTAACAGTTGCCACTCCCTCTTTGACAGATTCCTGAAATCTAACCATTGTCCCGTCATGACTGACAGAAGAAATCTCTGGCGCAATCCGCAGCACTGTTTTGGTATGCTAACAATCCAACACCATGCCAGCTCATCGTCACACCTTGCCAGTAACTAAACGTCCTTTTGTGCTGAACATATATTTACTATCAGATGAAGTCATCAAGAGCAGAATAATTATACCACTGACCATTTAAAGATCATATACATATAACATATCAAGATTAAACTCATGTTATAGACAGGCTTGGGGATCAAATGTATTGGTTTATGTAATCAGGATACAACAATTAAAAAGAGCATACTCTTGTAATAGGAGCTGATTTTGTTTCTGCTTAATGCTCTGTACTATCTGTGAATCTATACACCTACTGCCTGGATCTGCTTTATGGTTTTCCTTTGGTTCATTTGTTCTCTTTTTAATTTAGCAGGTGAACCTGTTCATAAAATAGTGTGTAGTGTGTATGAAACTAAAACGGAGCATTTCCTGTCAGCTCAGATCTCATTTCTGCTTCTTTAAACTGTAGTATGTGCTCATGTGTGTCATTGTCACTGGATAGCTACTGCCTGAATAGGCTTCATGAAAGGCAGCTTTTCCTATAAATAAAATCATTTCTGATCCTAAATATCTTGGTTCCTTCTTTTCTAAGGTCACATTGTTCTGTTGTCTTACATAACACACTTAATAAAGAAAACATCTTATTGACATTTTGAGGTAATCCAAAAGTAACAGAAAGTAATCGGGTTACATTACTGCTTTATTTTGTTACTCAGATTAAGTGACTGATTACATTTCTTTACAGGTAACTAGATATTGTAAGAGAATACATTTTTAAAGTATCCCCCCCTCATTTCTAATGACTAGTCACTGAGTCTCGGGTCTCACCTGTACACGTCGTGCTTGACGTCGGCCCGGCGGCTCTTGGAGGGCTCGTACTTCTCGGGGGGCATGTAGATCACCGTGCCAACCATCTCTGTGGGCTTGGACCCCGAGCCTCTGCTGACGGACAGCTGGCGCCACTTTGAAAGACCAAAGTCTGCAATCTGGACGGAACAACAGCAGAACATCAGCATTATTAGATAATACTATATGTGGTTTTTTTACTTTGATTTTCTTCGATATTTTACAAACCACAAACAACTGAAAGGCTTTGTTGTGGGAGAATTGTTCTCCTTGATATAATGAGATGCCGAACTCTGTTTCTAAACACTACATGCTTCTGAAGCAGCATTTTCTACAAGTTAAGTAGGCTTTAATTATAAAAAAAATTAAAAGTAGGGCTTCAAATAACCTCTTTTTAACTATCCAATAATTTGCTGATAATTCTTCAACATTGTTTGATAAAGTATGTGTGAGTGTGTGCGTGACTTCTCTGTGTTTGTCAAGCAGCGGATCTTGTAAATTACTGTAACGATCCGCCTTATCTTTTATTGGCTCATTTATTAATCAACATTGCGCAATGACCTCTCATAGTTTCCCTCCTTGATTCAGAATTCCAGAGCAATAATGAGTTAACAAGGAAATTCCCTTAACATCTGATTATTGTACACATGGTGATAATGCCAGTAAGACAACCACCCTCGGTGACACCTATGCATTCAGTCATACCATTCCATATATTGCTATATCCATGTATTGCCCCCGCACATACCTTTACATGAAACTCCCCATCCATCAGTATGTTCTGCGTCTTTAGGTCGTGATGTAGGAGTGGTGGGTTCATGTTGTGCAGGAAGTTAACCCCCAGCGCAATCTCATACAGGATCCTCAGCCGCAAGGGCCAGGCCAGCACGGGGTACGTGTCCTTCTGTAACCGGGGGCAACACACCGGGAGACAATGTTAATATAAGTATCAGTTACTATTGTATTGTAAAGTTGCCGTGTACATTTGCTTCTCTACGAGTTTTTAAAAAAAGGGATTGGAGTGGGTGTGTGTGCGTGTGTGTTTGAGAGAGATACAAAGGGATAGAAGGTACAGGAGCACCTACCGCAGGGCACCACGATTTGGAAAAAACGATTATATTTGCTATTATTTTGACTGATACTGCAATATGCTTTGCGATATTTAAAGGAATTACCCATTTTGAAACATTATTCATATTTTTATTGGAAACTATAGTGAAATACGGATATGTACCAAACCACTCATTATATTATTTATATGTATTATTATTAAATCTGTAGAATCCTTTTGAAGGCTTGAATATCCCCGCAGCCCCACAATAATCAATTTGCACAATTTCTAAATGTTATCAAAAAATGCCCTTACTGTGATTTAAATGTTGCACCAGTCTATAACGTGATTTCGATCAAAATTTAGATGAATTGTGAAGCCTTACCCCACAGTATACGTTCATTAAAATGATTACACGACTTAGTTTAATACTCGATTCTAATTGGTCAGTTGGGACATTTCAGAGGTTGTTAATACTTGCTACCTCACCACTGCTAAAGAGCTAAAGGGTCATTATAACTGATTATAATAATGATATTAATAGTATAATAAAGTGATATTATGTCATACTTTTGCAACCCAATTTTCCACAGTGCAATGAGCACACACTGGAGTGGGGATTTCCCTGATTGGTTTTGGAGCATGTGATGTCAGACAAATGTGGGAACAGACATATGAGTCTTATTGTTTGTCTCTCTTCCCCTGCTGGTTTCGAAGACTGTGACAACTTCCCAGTTTCACTTTGTCCTGCTGTAGAAACTGCTGTCCCACAGGCATGAAGGCCATTGTAGACAATACACATGAATCGTTAAACTTTAACGATTCATGCTCCCTTATTTTTATCTTATCTCTAGAGATAAGATAAGATAAGGGAGCTCTTTTCAAGAAGCCTCTTTCACTAAAGTGCCTAAACAAAAATGTAGCATGTGTGTGACTGTGTATAGAAGCCTTATAGCCTAGGAAAGTTGCAATCTTCTTAAATAGGATCATGATTCATAAACTTTGGGATTCGACCTATTGCAGACCATTTACATGCACAAACACCTATATACAGTAAGACACTACAGGAAAGGCATAACAGGGCCTCTTCAAATGAATTGATTATGATGTTAGGATTAGATCAGTTTCTAAATGAACTTCTCTAATTGTTATGAAACGACTTGATGACATAAATCTACCTCGTGGAGCAACTGGTCCAGGGAGCCATTGCTCATGAACTCGGTGATGATGCAGAAGAACTCGGGCTCGTTGCAGATGCCAAAGATCTGGATGATGTAGTTGAACCTGGCTTTGTGGAGCACCTCGGCCTCCTTCAGCAGGCTGTTCCTGTGTCTGAAACACAGCCAGGGACACACCATCAGTCTCTGCTCTCACACAGAGAGATCATCATGCCAAAACAGTGAAGACATTTGCTGTGGGTGTATACAGAGTTTCAAAACGCCAAAGGATTGAAATGTGAAAGCTGATTTTCATCAGGGCTCGGCGATATGGAAGTGATGGTTACATTTGTATTAATGCTTTAAGATGTTGATTTACAGTACATCTTGATGGGCCAAATCACATGTTAAAGGATTAATGGTGACCTGTGTCCAACTGTTGTCTTTAAATGGGTCAATTTTATTCATTCATTTGGACAACAGAAAAGCAATGACAAGCACTTCAAGTGTTGCATAAAAAAACAACAAGCAATCACAGAAAAGTGTTTAAGGTGAAAATCACAGCATCAACACTGGACATTTTGGAAGTTTAAATCAAGTATGAGGCTTGCATTTGTATCAGATGTAGCCACACTGTCCCAGGCGTTATTTATTCTCTGTGGACATGTTCAGTTTCAGTTTCTAAAAACAAAATTATTTAAATATAAAGCTCTATAACATTGTAGCTTATAAGTGTTGGTCACATGAGCACAGGTACCTTTCTTCAACGGGATTGTCGAGTTTCAGGCACTTGATGGCCACGGTGGTCCTCCAGTCGGAGTGCTGCGCCTTGAACACGGTGCCGAAGCCCCCCCTGCTCAGGTAGTACAGGTCCGTCAGCTTCTGACAGGGGATCACCGGCAAGGTGCTGGTCAGACTGCCGATGTTCACACAGCCCACAGCCGGGTACGGCTCCATAGCAGCTTGTGAGCCTTTACGGGAACTCACTGGGGATTTATCCTCCACTGGGTCAGCCTCTGAAAGCTGAACTGCCCCTTTATGGTAAAAGCAATGAGGAAGAGCTCTTCCATTCACACGCATGAAATAATGTCGCTAATGACTGCTAGCAAGCTAAGCTATTGTAGCGGAGGGCTGTCGAAAAAAAGAGCCTCCGATAAATGGTTCACCCGTTTACACAAAAGCAAAGCCCAGCCAAAGACTACAGGTAACTGCGGGACCTCTCACCCGCCTGTTTATTCATGGTATGCTGCCGGCCCGCCTCTAACTAGCTGTCACAGTCAGAGGAACAACAACTGCGGGCTGCTGAGCGCCGCCAGGTGGGTTTGTTGTTGCTAATGACGACACGCTTCCGGGTTTTTGAAGATGCGTTCAAGTACATACGTTTCAAACTCAAAAGATTCATTTGAACTCGTTTTTTTTATTGCGGGAATTATTTTCCAAACTGCCCTCTGATAACAATCAGCCTCTACAGGAGGAATTATAGATAAGGGCAAGTCCAAATATAATGATGTAGTAGCCTATGAATAGGTTGTTTAATAAATACTCTGCTTCAAATTCTCTCTTTGGTTTCACTTTCAAACAAAAGTCATATCCTCCGAGCTTCACTCCAAATGTTCATGACTGTTTTTTGCTGCTGGAGTTTCCCAAACGTGGGGAATTCCAGCCTAATGCTGATGTTGATGTGACGACATATTAGCGATAAAAAGTAAACACGTGATGCACGGCCAACTCTACCAACTAGGGGTCACTGGGAGCATTGTAATCATTTTTGGTTTGTGGCTAAGGCTGAAACAAGATAAAACGTATATTTTTTTACAATTAATGTAAGTCTACATTTGTTAAGACATTTGAGTGTTACCTATTATATTACCAAAACAATTTAATATCATTTTAACCTTTAATGAAATTCACACCTCAGAAAGAAAGGAACTGACAAAGCGAGTGACATAAGTTATTTATGTATACAAGTCTATTCCAATACTAGTAGAATAAAATAGAGTAAAATACAATAGATAGATAGATAGATAGATAGATAGATAGATAGATAGATAGATAGATAGATAGATAGATAGTCAATTATAACTCCTAATAAAAATGTCAAACTTAGTCTGTAGGATAATAAACTTAAATCGTAAAAAACACATTCTGTAGGTCTGTCATTTTTGTTTTCACAGACAGATAAACCCCCTGGGGGACTGGAGCCAGTACTCGAGTTGAGGGGGGATGAGGGGGGATGGCATCCCCCCTGAAATAAAAATGGTCAAAATCATCCCCCTTCTAAAACTGCCATCCCCCCTTTCCATCCCTTATGTTATTTTATCAATGAACGTGGCACTGGTATTACTGCTATTTCAACATTAATTTTGCGCATATTGAGTAAAATACTGTGGGCGAGGGAGCACGCACACATGCAATGACATTTTTACCAAGTCATTGACGCTATGCTATGCGAGTGCCGTGATGTGCCCGTTTGATTGATGCCAGAAGCTGCATAGCAGCACTAGCGCAGGTAACGGTCATCACAATGGCCAAGCGACCAGGAGGACAACGCAATCTGAGGGACTTCATATTTAAAAAGACTAAAAATAACATTTCAGGTAAGTCAAGAGTCAGTAATCTTAGTCATTACTCATTACTTTAGTCACCAAAGGTGGAATAACAACTTAGTTTGGAGTTTAGCTACGTTTTTCTCTCGTGTTAGCTAGCTGGTAAGACTCAAAACTGTTGATGAAATGATACCACCAGCACCAGAAGAGCTGAAACCCCTCCTTCAAGCAGTGAACACTCTGGTCATCTCCACAGCTGAGTGTGAACGTGGGTTTAGTCAGATGAACATGTTAACCACAACTAGAAGCTCCCTAGAGGTAAAAAGCATGTCAGCCTTGCTTTTCATCAAGTGTGTTGGCCCTCCACTGAACAAGTTCAGACCAGATATATATGTCAAGACTTGGCTTCAAAGCCATTGCTTAGCTAACAATCCGAAAGCAAGAGCCAGAAAAATTGAGACCAAAAAGCATGATTATGAAAATCTTTGGAAACTTCTATGAGATGGGGGAGAGTGGAGTAGGCAGCCATTGACACAATTGGTCCTATTTTGTATTATCTGTATAATCTTTTAATATATTTTCATATTTTGTAAACAATTTCAATTTGCACTTAATGCCCTGTTCCCTGTTGTAACATTGGGAATGTTAACATAAAAGATTTGTATTTGAACTGCAAGAAAATGATGACGGATCAATTTTGTTCTAATTTCTTTCCTCAATTTTTTCATGAATTGTCACATTTACATAATGATTTAATTAATCACGATACAAAATTAACCCTTTAGATACCAGTTTTGATCGTATACCAGTATCTGCTTTTTAAAAAAAATACACTATAATTCAATATTCTAAAAACAAATTTGACTTTATTATTAGTATCATCAGCTGATCCATCTGAATAATAAATGAGGGACTGTTAACCTACAAGATTTGTACCATAGACTTCCATTATAACCACATTTTTTTATCCCCTCCCCCCCTTTAAATTAAAGTGAAAAAAAGATTTTGCACTAATTGTCCTCTGCATTTGACCCTAAATGTTAGTGGTGCCATGGCAGCCCGGGGACCGACTCTAATTCTGAGGTGCCTTGGTCAAGAGCAATGTCAGGAGTATCTGAACATCCATAACATGCATGTTGTTTTAGGAGTATAATAATTATCTTTATGCTGGTTGGTCTCCCACCCTCTGCGGGTTATCAGCTAAAGTTATGTCCCCATATGATAAAATCCACCATACCCCCTGATTTCTTTTTACAACTTGAGTACTGACTGGAGCACATGACATGATGACTCACTGAAGCAACTGTTGGTAAGGAGGTTTAAGAGGTTTTGATTATCAAGCCAGGCAGGCACGTGCACACATAGACATCAAAGTGGGCTTGAGCCCCTGCCCAGAGAAAGTGCCCTTTTTATGGGGGTGCTTTTTTTTCCATTTTTTTTTCTCCAATAAATGAATATATATCTACTGCTGTTTGCGCACAGTTTCCCTTTCCAAAAATATATTGATTGAATACAAAATAAAAATATCAGGTCGGGAGATTAGACTGTGAAGTTCCAATGCTCTCTCTACCCTCCCTCCCTCCACGTCTCGCGCACAGCGGTGCGGACAGTCACTTCAGACAGACAGGTAGCAGCACCTCCCACCTTAAAGTCCCATGTTATGCCGGCTTTTCTTGGCTTGTTTGAAGGTGAGTGAACTGAAATGACTAAATTACTAAACTGCCAGTGCCTCGAGTTTACAGCTAATTAGCCAAAAGACAAAAACAAATATAGTTAAAGTAGGGTACAGCTAATGGATAAGTTAGCTCAAGGTTTAGCTAAGTGGTTCCCAAAGTGGGGGGGCGCAGAGGCATGACAGGTTAGAGACCAGGAGGGAAAATGGTTATTAAAAAAAAAAAGATTTGAAAAAAAAAAGATAAAAAAAAATCATAATTTGAAAAGGTATTGATTAGAAAATATTATGATACAGTACTATTACGTCTGTGTTTCATTAAAGCTTGGCTCGTGTGTGTGTGGAACGAGCCATGTTGTGTGCGTGCGCGAGAGAGAGAGAGAGCGCACCGGTACCGGAGATCGTTGTTGTTAGCTTCTGGTGCTAGCGAGCTACGCTAATGGATATAAGGAGTTTTTTCAACAACAAAGTGGAGGAGAGTCCTCTCCTGTCAGACTGAGAGGCAGTGTTGCCAACTCCATAGTAAGGAAAGTAGCTATTGGCTGTCCGAAAAGTCGCCAAAAGTCCCTAAATGACGTCATCGCCTAATTTGCATATCATGTAATGGCGGTAAAAAAACGTTCCACCCCCTTCAAGGATCAAAACTTGAAACCACCAGAGTAAATCCAGACGACAGTAGATCAGAAATGTCTCTATTAGAAAAAGTAGAAAGTAGAAATTGTTTTAGTAGTTTTTAGTAGAAATCTCCCTTACAATAAAGGCAGTATAGTATGCCCGTGTGTCATCTCCAATAAATGGCTTCAACCATCCTTTAAACTCAGGGTTTGATTCCCACTCCTTTCTGTACTTTTGTGAATAGGTCTCCAAACACCAGAAAAGTCCCTAATAACACCATTACAAGTCGTTAAATTAGTCGTTAGTCGCTTTTGACAAAAATAAGTAGCCGGAGGGTTTGGAAAGCCGCCGAATTTAACGCAAACAGCAACAACTCGCTCCGCAGCAAACAGCTGTGGGGCGAGTTGAAAGTACGTTATGCTGGCCGCGGTGTCTAAATAATGCTTCCGGGCCAGCGGGCCATTTATAATGTCGAGCCCTGAGAGTCCACAGATTATATTGGTATACGTTTCATCCCTGTGCGATCAAAACTCACTGTTCAATAAAAGAACATTTTACCTTGAAAATCAATGCATTCTAATAGCGGGTCAATTTGACCCAGGTGGCGGTTTTAGGTATAAAAAATCTCTGGCGGTTCTAAAATAAGATATCATGGCTTATACTTGCGTATCTAAACAGAATCATGAAAGCCTGTTGGTAGAGTCAGGCACACAAGTCCGTTTGAGTGTGTGTGCCGGTGTCTGAACGCTCACTCACTGCTAGCTATGTGTCTAATGCTGCGTTCACACCGGACGCGATGCGATGTTTGGGGGCGGCGTGATTACATGTAAAGTCAATGCAGAGACGCGGACAGACGCGAATTCGCTCCGACGGTGCGCATGAAGCGGTGGACGCGGCGCGAATCACGTGATTGAGGCGATTGAACGGCGTTAAACGCGAGAGTTCAATTTTTTCAACTCGAGCGTCAAATTCACGTGACGCGTTCTCGCGGAAGCCAATCAGCGGTGAGGATCTCAGCCTGCCGTCACTAACGTTCAACCACACAACATCAGCCGTTAGCTGTTAGCAGTTAGCAGTTAGCACACAGAGCTCACAGCTCCTCATATCTGTTCAGAAACTGGACAAAAGTTAAACAAGTACAAACCACAGACTGTCTGTGTCATGGCGAATATAGTCGCTGGTTTATTTATGTCTGTAGACCGTTGTTATGAGTGTGGAATGAGCATATACAGTACAATGTTAGCTTAGCCTGGTCGACCCGATCTTCATTCAGAAAACAAGCATTTTAAAAGATTTTTCGCCTGCCGTCTTGTCTGCAGACTTGTCAAGCATTAATTCATGGTTTTTACTAACCGGTATCAGTATGTTGTTACTTCGGCATCATTTAAAAACGTGTATTACAATTTAATCACGGTAAAATATGTTCATTTTGTTGTAGTTGTAGCTCCCGAGCCTGCGCGTCTTGTTTGAATGATGCCAGTAAACACA